ATATATATATATATATATATATACGCTCGTTTCTGCTTTTAGTTTGGCACACCAAATTAAAATCTTTTACCTTTTCTTATTCAGAGGTCTATACATCCACTAACAAAAACTTGTTCCTGGAAGAAAAGCAGCGTTTTTTTGTGAAATTTTTGTGTCTGAAGTGATTCTGCTCTTGGAAATTTGGATAACTCATTGGCGGTGGAGTTCGTTGCTTTTCTGTATTTATTACTGCTTTTTTTTCTGAATTATTAAAGGAAATTTTACCAAAGAGGAATGCCCAGTAATTGAAAGTTCGTTTTCGCTAGGGTCAAGTGTGCGATGGTCAAAATTTTAGATAATATTAATTCAAAAGAACGTTTTTAAAATTTTAAGAATTACTGTTTGTCTCTCATCTTCTACAGGATTTTGTTTACTTTGTGTGTTGTGAGGTTGGTCTATGGAAATAGTAATAAATGCAGTGACTCCTGATTGAAGATCATGTTCATTCTAATTATTGACAAAAGCAGAGCCACATAAAACTTTTTCAGCTTCATAACCCTGAATTTTCATTAGAGGTAGTATCTTCTAGCTTCTCCTTAACCCTTTTCCTCTGTCCTGCACTTTTCTATGATTGTAGGCCTACGAAAAACTTATTTTGTTGAAGTACCGACACGTTAGATGTGTGACTCAAATAATCACCCCATTACCAAATGTCTAATTTTTTTTGTTATGTGATACTTTCGTTAGTTAGGAAGACAAATGACTAAAACTGAGAAAGCTCAGCTTTGAAACCTTTCGGGAAAATTGAACTATTTTGCTTTATTGTAACTTATAGAAGTAGTTTTGGAGTTCGGATTTCCGAAATTAGAGGGAGTGTGATTACTTCATGAAAAAGCAGGAATTTGCTCTCATGCCAAATCACACTGGCAATCGGCGGTAAGAATTACATACATAACACCTAAATATGCATTATAATATGCGTATACGGGTTGGGCCATGTATATGACATATATGAACTACTTTCCTGACTTACTGACTGCCTGACATTCACTTTAAGTACTTATTAAAGTTACGCCGTTTATTTCTTTTGTTTTAGGTTGAGGACGATAACAGCTCTTTCTGCCCCTTCTGGTAATTCATTTTTTCTTTCCGTTGAGGTAACTTTTCGTTCGGTTGAATTTTTATATTTTCAACAGCACCACTTATCCTGCCAGCATCTCCCATGTAATTTTTGTCGTACTTTACATGATTTTTATGTTGGACGAGTGACCATCACGGATATGGATTTCTCATTTGGATATAAATTCGCATACGCTTAGCTAAAGTCCCCCAACAGTTTTTCTTCAGGTGGTGTTCGTTCATATTTTTTGCAGAAACTCGTGATTTGCGCTTCACGGTGTCTTCCAACAATATTGTTTTGAATTTATATCGGTGAATTAGGCCACAAAAATTCTGTCTTGCTCAATAGTATCGGTAAGCTAGTGATCATTTGTAATTTATTTCTTGTCTGTCGAAGACGGTACAGTGCTTTCCTACTTGTTTCTTAATTGTAAATACAGAAACTGCTCAGAATTGATAAAATGATTAGCACTGGTGCCTTTGTCTTACATTTTTACGAACATTACAACATGCTAACAGGCATAAAGTCTTGCGCTTACCGAAGGCTAGGTATTGGAGTTTGGGCTTCAACAGCTAGCAGCTCGTCGCCCAAATTTTTTCAAAGTTGCAAGGGGGAAATAATGTTTGAAGTTGATTTGGTACAATTATAGTCTAGGTGTTCTCAAGAATAATAGAATTTTTTATCGCCATGGGTGATGTGAGTTTTGAAGAGTTCGCATAAGTCAGTTACTTCTGCAATGTTGTCTTTGATTTTGTTCTTGTACTGATCGACGTAATGGAAAGGACCGCCAAGAGATGGTGGGAAACCGACTCCAAAGACGCATCCAACGTCTCCCTCTTCCTAAAGTTCGTCATATTGCGCTAGGTTCTGATCCCCGTACTAATAAAGGAACCAGGGACGCTGTTTTTTGAGAGTGACGATATTTTGCTCAGTATTGACAAAAGTCTTCACAGCGGAATTTACAACTTCTTTTAGTTTAAAGAGTGGGAGAGAAATTAATTTCTAAGTCTCTTCGGTTGCAAGAGTAAGAAATTTTCAAAAGCGGTACCGGTGAACTTATTATGCCCTGTTCGTAGCAGTGTAGCGCTGCGTTGGTGACGCAGTGCAAAAGGTTTTGTGGGCCACCTGTTGTTGAGTGAGTTGTAACGGTGAATTCTCTGAAAAGATGACGTGTTAGATTTTGGTTCACCACTGTGCCTAGTTTGTGATGGCAGTGATGAGTTTGTTGCCGGTAATGCTACGGTTAAAAAATTCACCAGTGACCTAAAAGCTTTCCAAGATTTTCACGAGGCAAAAGCCGCGTTAGTGTGCCAAAACCAACAATACCTACAGTTCACTTTGTGCTTGTTTTAGGGACTGCTTAAGACTTTCATCTGGAATCTTCTCAAGTTTTTCTCCGTTTTTGTAAACGTAAAACCCCTGCTCAACTGCTTCGCCATGCCTGTTTCTACGAACCAGCTATAAGAGATCTGGGAAAGATATTTGCTAAAAATCAAAAGAGAGCTTTTTTTACAGTGAGAAAAAAAACGGTTGAACAAACATCTCACATTGGAAAAGGTGACAAACCTCATGCAGAAACTGCAACTTGTTTTTGTATGATAAGTAACGTCGAGAAGCCTTGGCAATCGCACTCAATCCAATTAAATCGCACATTTCTGCAATGCCGCCTACGAATCCTGCTTTTTTTGAGAATTCATCTATTTCCACAGCGTTATTCAAGTTTCTGTTGAGGAATTCATCACACATAGTAGAAACCATGGAAAGAACACAGTGAACTAGGTAATGCCCTGGCCTTTCGTTACTGTCATTTGAGCTAATCGTATACAGGTCTTGTTTGCGTACTGAAATGAGCAAGCTGTTCGGAAATGCTGTTTGTTTTCCACTCTTGATGGGATTTAGGTAGCACAACTCGTAATTTACAGAACAGGAAGAAGGAAACAAACGCAGTAATGCTGCCATCGCTACAGAAGCTGTATCGGTCTTTTCGTGTCTTATCAACTCTCCATATTTACTGGTACCATATGGAACCCCGTAACAAACGCCGACTATCCTGTTAGGGAAGTTCGCCGAGCCAGCTACATCTTTTACAGATTTCCCAAAAACATGTATTAAGATCGGGACTGTTTTCGCAACTCTGTTTTCTACCTAAACTTGTTTACATAGCTGTCGACAAAGTAGCCAAGAACTTTTCAGTGGTCGGACATTCTCGGAAGTGAATGGAAAACAAACTTCTCTGATTTCGCCACTAATTCGTTCATCAGGAACATCTAAAGGTAACGCGACTAAAACGATATTAGCATTTTGCAGCTCTTCGTATGTTTCCACAATGTAAATGTTCCGTTTTGCAGAGTTTGCTTTCTTTGGCAAAATTTTTCCTTTTTCCACAGCTGCAATAAGAAGCTCCTTATTCACTTCCTATCAGTGAAGAAACGCAAAGCGGAAGTTGGATATTTTGTTCGAGATAGCTGTTCTTATAAGGAGCAGTGACTGTTGCATGCTTGTTAAGATACTATAGCTTTAAGCGTGCTTAAAGTACTGGACTTTTCAGTGTAACTGCAGAGATATCCAACAAAACGCAGAAGCAAATTCTGACCTCGTAAAAAATGTTTTTCAACATACTCGTTTGCCTTCGCCCTCAACTGATGATTTGGCTCAATGATAGTGACCTTAAAGTCTTTCGACACAACACTACAAGTACAAGCCAAACCTGCTGATGAAGTGCCAATGACACACAAACATCTATAAGCATTCGTTGTCAAAAGGTTACTTCAAGATTGGAGCATCAGACTAAAGTATTCCAGTTACATAGAACATAGATGTAACACCTCTCAGTGAAGAAAGCTTTGTAAAACAACTGTTATCAAATACCTCAACTCAGGTGCTTCACCAAATCGTTGCTTTTTGCATTTAGTTATGCCGTGAAAAAGGCTAATTAGTGCTTTAGATTCTCTTGTTTGCGTTAGACGGCCAAATTCCTAAGAAAAAGAGGTTCATCAGAAATCAGGAAAATAGTTTAACCTACATATCATTATAATTAGGGGGCAACTTGTTGTTTCTCTGAAGCAAGTCCACCTGTTGGGCATTGTTTGCTAAAAAATACAAGAAATTAGTCACTTACTGTCGATTCAAATAAGTACCCTTCGTCACCTTTACAATTCATAGATTTTTCTACACATTCCAAAATTGCGTAGGGAGCAGGCATTTCACCAACGGGACTACTTCTTAACTGAAATATGAAGATCTTTATATGCTGAAAAGGTAAAATGAGAAGTTCCTGCTGGTTCAACAAAAATGTGAAATAGTGATCGAAACAAGCTGAGAAAATCCAGCCTTTTGAAGCACAGCTCTTTTGATGAAACAGTTCCAAATAAGCCTCGTCGAATACATATAGTTGACAGAATCACGCCACACTGAATGCCAGCTTCTAATGTTAAGGGCTTTTGTAGCTATGAGACGTACAGTATTTACAGCTATTTCTTGCAAATGTACCAGAGACGCAGTATAATCAATATCACTTTCACCCTAAGTAACGTGTAAACACCGGTATACAACCAACCAAGGCCATGTTTATAAAACTTCCATCTCCAAAATGTAATAACTTTTGTGTATCAAACCGCGAATCAAGCACCTCTTACAGAGAGCAAGAAAAAAGTGCTTACCAGCATTACAGGATCTATCACCTGCTCCACGAGTCCAATTTGATAGGCACGTCTGGCATTAACGCTACGCCCGGTAAGAAGCATGTCGAGTGCTACTGGGAGCGCTACTTGTCGAGGAAGCCTCTGTGTTCCCCCACCTCCCGGTAAAAGTCCAAGCCTAACTTCCGGCAATGAAAATACGGTGCAGTCTGTATCAACACAGATGCGATAGTGGCAGGACAGTATAAGCTCAAGTCCTGCGCCCATACAAGTACCTGAATTTGTAGCTTTCAAGATGACCTATCATCAGGAGAGAAAATAATTTTATTCGACAACACATTTTTTGAACTCTATCGTGTTTTCTCATTTCGTTTCATGCTACCTGTGGCGATCGGATTACTGTAAGGGATAACTTGTTCTGAAGCTTTCTAAAGGGAACTTCAATAACGATTTACTAGTGACTTGCAAGACGAAGGCAGAGCTTCTTCTCGGCTCAAAGTCAGCTCCGTTTTCAGAAATGTCCCGAATTCTCTTCAAAGGATGACGGATCACCAATATTAGAGACAGCAGCTACCTAGATTTTCCCAACTTATTTACTGTGTTTACAGTTCTCTTGAACATTAATTTTTCAGAACAACCAAGGTTATTCCAATTATAAGCTTGGTTCAAATCAAGTCTTTGTTCGAGTTATAAGCTTGGTTCAAATCAAGTTTTTGGTCACCTGAAAGACCGGCTTCTTCAGGTTATAAGAATTTTGCAGAAAGCGTTCTAAACTCTTTTGTTTTTTTATACCTAATGAAAATAATCTTTTTAGACTCATTATATTTCTAATTGTTACGATTGTTACTCTTTTGCTGGAAAGAAATCAAGTTATTCTTAAACAATTAATCGGTGCTTTGTTATAAAGTGTCCTCAAACATATTATTCATGCTTTTGACCTTATAATTCTCTTCTTACTTCCTGCATTTGGTAACCAGCCTTGAAACTCACCTGGCAGCAGAATTGTCACTACACTGTCAAAAAAAAGACCTTAGTAAAATTCTTAGGCAGTTAAAGGACTAAAGCAGCCATCTATTTGTTTGAAGAAACTCCTCAAGGGAAATTTTCCTGCAAGATTTAAACTTTTCAAAAAAGCAGTGATCAAATAAGACACTGTTCAAGCTGCAAAATTTGAACTTAGGAAGCTGCTCACACTTAATTTTCATAAACATTGCAGTATTCAAAAAGTTATAATAACCAACTCCTCAGAGTCGTGCTGTCTGCCCGTTCCCTCATAGTGCGCCTTCCCTCGGGCATTGTTCAAATGGATTTTTACGCTATACTTAGTTGAATTCCACTAGTTTGAACGACGTTCTTCTGGACACTGTCTGTTCACATTATTTTAAGCTAAAAACCGCCTTTCATAGAATAAAAAATAACTTTTCAAGAACATAGGCGGAAAGCTTGGAGGCATGGTGTTGTAGGACTAGTTTCTCTCCAGAATCTAACTAGTCTAACTCTTTTTGCAGAGAAGAAATAAATGAGATTCTCACTTGTTAAAAAATGTAAGTTTTAAAGAAGAAAGACATCACTAGGAGCTGAGGTAATGTTTGATATTTGTTTAGGGCTAGAAGGTGAGAAGAATTCTAAAATTATTAGTTTGAGGCTTATTTTGCTAAAAATTTAAAATTATCAAATATTCAAACAGACCCATAACTGCAGCCACTACAGGCACAGATGACTTTTCTACTTTTCGAAATTTATCTTGACAACGGCGAGACTGACAAAATAATTCTGGACCATCAGTGCTTTCCAAAATATTTATATCTGCACCTGCTACAAAACTTTTTGGTTTTGCCGAAATGATGATAACTCCAACGATATTGTCATCTTCTACAGCAGTTTCTGCGGCGTTTTTCAGCTGTTCTCCAATTGATTCATCGAGAACGTTTTGCTGAAAATACTGGAATTCTTTCTGACAAATAGTATAGCGCTTACCAAATGATAATGATTCTGTAGAAAACTAAGTCTCAGTTCAATACTTTAACGCAAAACAAGATACTATTTTGCCTAAAAGTGTAGACCAGTTAAACTTATGTCATTATTGACAGAAGTTGACATGAAAACCAGAAGGAAACATGATGAACATTTTTTGGCGTATTGTGTGATATCTGTCATAGCAGGTTTATTAGCGCAACTAAAACTTTACGAGGCGATAAGGAACCAAGACTGGTGGAAAGTTGAGTGTAATTTTTAAAAGTATACGTAGTAGTATTTTATGAAACCTTAAAAACAGTGAGACTGAAGGAAAATAATTCAAAGTTTTATTGTCGTTAAGGGAACAAAGCGAATGGAAGTCGCAGCTTTTGTTGTACTGATTAAATTTCAATTAAAGTCAATTGATCAGGTGCAACCGCCAAAATTTGTGAGTTTTTACGGGTCAAATTGTCTCTCGTTAGAGCACCTTGCTTTTTTTTTTCCATTTCGATGTGCCGTGTCCAACTATGCTTTTTACACCTGTCATGCCGTTAGTTCTGCGCTAGAATGTCAAAGATCGTAAGGAAAGTTGCAGCCACTGGCTAAAGCTACTGATTCAGATTAGAGAATTTAAAAGCAGGCAACTTATATGCATCATTCCAACGGCATTTACAGACCAGTAGCTTTTAAATGATATATTAGCGTTTAGTATAAAAATGTTTAGCGATAAAGCTTAACAGATCACAAAATATACGTAGCAAAGGAATGCTGACAGATATTATACGTTTGATCTCTTATTCCAAATACAAATACGAAAACGTATAGACTACTGAATCAATTTTTTTCTCTGGTAGTTCCATATTGCACTGAGTCAACCAACGGACTGCAAACTCTACTAGACGTTCGCAAACGTGAATTTAGAAATTACTTTTTAAGAGTTAGATTTATTCAGGTATCACTGTTCACTAGATACAGAACTTTCTCCTCATTACTACGCAAAAAAAGAAAAAAAAAAACATTTCGAGCTCATAAATGATGATACAGTCTTAGCTACAGTAACCAGTACAAATCATACACGATGAATTTTATAGCAGACAGGATGTTTTAAAAATCAATAATAAGAATTTTATGAAAGTTTGGCGACACCTGCCTGGCCAGGAGTGTTAAGTGTAATTACCGCGACATCGTTGTATTTTTCCATCTGAACGCAGGAAACGCGTTGTAGAGCCTCTTTTTCAGATTGTTCCATTAGAAGACTGACAATTTTTACCTATATTACCTACAATAAAATTAATTATTATATGTAGGTTACCGTAACTGTTAGATCATAACACACAAGTACACACAAATTATATACTAGGTAAATTCAGAAGAGAACATCTGATTCAAGTGATAAATATGTATAAGTTTCAACGCTATTTGTTAATTAGTAGCTAGTAGATAGGAAGTTTATTGGTCTTAAGTGTATGCAGATTGCATAAAAATTTTGAAATTAAAAAAAATTATGGTACGATGAACAAGGCAGTAATTTGAAGAGAAAGATTTTGACCCAACTGCTACATTTTCTCTTGAGTTGGCCGTAAAGTTGAGTTGATTTTCACTTTTATAAACGAATCAAAAATGTGATATAGTTCGAAACTACATATCTCTTCACAAAGAAAAGAGCCGCAGGAATCAATACAAATTTACTTATACAATGAGAGCTTTAACATTTAACTTACCTAAAAATCTTTAAATCTAAAAGCTGAAAAATTAGTATAGACAATCTGCAGAAAGAGATCTGAAACAACGAAACAGGTGTGATAAAAATTCATGCTTTAGTCATTTCACTTTTTTTCATAATTGAAACATACGATCTGGCTTTAACATAAAGTAGCAATGCCTTCTCTCTAATTAAAAATATTAATTATAGTTTCTTCAAAATTTTGCTCATTTTCTTCATTTCTAAACAGTCCTTGTTTGTAGCATCTTATTCCAATACTGAAGTAGTCTGCGAATTACTCTACAGATGTTACAGAGAATTTGACCGTTGTCTCAAGCTGACGTAGCCGAACCTTGTTATTTAGTTGAGAAGCTAGATGACATCCAGTCACTGTCCAATTCATCCCCAGTTATCATGTGGCGCACATCTACCATCGCAACTAACAAGATGGTAAAAAACGAATTGATTCGAACGGAAAGATCGGCACTACCAAACACTATTTTTTCGATTTGGCAATTTTTTAAAGCTTTCATTGTCTAATGTTTCCCTTCTTTATTACTGCACGTAGGTGCAAATTGACCGTATAATATAAAATCTTGAATTTAGAAGTCGTATCATGAGTTGTTTCCAGAAAAACTTTGGCATCTATTATCAAATTTTGATCTTTATATAGGACAGTCTGTTTCAATAAAGCTTGAGGTTTTATGAAACGTCTTAACACATCACATTCATAAGGTTTCTTCTTAACAAAGTTCTTTCCAGTCACCCTTATTGTTTTGACAGCGGCACTGATTTCTTTTTCTCATAGGCATTAAGAAGTAGCAAAAAAATCATATTTCTGACTCTTGAGACTTAAAAAAGTTTTAAATAACGATTTCATTATATAGAAGAAATAAAGAACCAGGAATGTAAATAGAAGGAAGGTTAGACATGCAGTTGTTTATCAGTATACATCAGGCCGTCTTTTTAAGAACACCTCTCTTACTCGGAACACTTCGAAGAGTAAAATGCAGAAACTAACGTTTGATTGCTGCTTAACTTGACACTTTTAGAGGTTAAAAGTAATAAAGCAAAAAAAAGAAAAAATCGTGATTCAATAAGGGGAATCTTTAATGGTCGATAAATGTCATCTTTATGCGTATGCTTCATCTCCCTATCGCAACTCGCATTTTCTTAAGGTTTTATATTATAGCGGAGCAAATATTGAAACAGAAGAAAGTTTAAATAGATAGGAAAGACGACGACCTCTGAATTGGTGTGAGTAATGTAGAACACTAGCACTTTTTTGAGAAATCAACAATAAAAAAATTACTTTTATTTATCTTTCAGACTGCAAAACTATAAAACTAGCAAAAAACTCGTTTTCTTGCCTTTATTAGCCTTACTTTGCTAATCAAAAGAAGACCAACCAAATTTGGTTAAAAAAGAAAATTTTGTTAGAGACAATGACCTTCAACAATCTTTTTAAGGAATTTCAAATTGGCGGAGCAAAATAAGACTGTTTTTTTGCAACATGAATTTGCAGCTCAAAAGTTGTTGCAACTTTGAGCTTCTTTAACGGTTTTATGTTATAATACTTGCCTTGACCAATATTAAGATAACTTTAACAAGACATGACTACTCAAACAGTTGATTGATAAAAAGTAATTACAATCTTATCATTTTTAGTACCTTTTAATCTTTTGTTAAACTCCTGTAAGACTACTGTTTTATCTGTTAATGAGACGTCTGGAGAATCTCTCAAATTATCTCTCATATTTATTCCTCCAACGAACCAATTCCGTAATTTCACGATTTTTTGACTTTATTCTTCAATCTTGAATTACTTCGTCAAAAATTTTACCAGTAAACTAAGATGCATGTGATGTTTTACATGCTTTGAAAGAGTTTTTTTACAACAATTGTTGCAAAAATTTTTCTATAACAATAAAAGCCTAATTAAACAAAAATTAATTTTGACTAGTAACCGTATCTGATAACCTTTTTTTTCAAAACCATCACTTCATTTTTTTATAGAACAATTTTTTCAGGTCACCATCTTCGTTTTTACGAGAGACGAATAAAGTCAACAAAAAATTTGACGTTTCTTGGAACGATTAAATTAAAAAAGGGGAAACTAAATCAGAACGTCTCTTCTGTAAAAAACTGTTTTTGTAAGATAAAATGAACGGCAGTTTTTTTCTGATAATCGTAGATTTTGAGCAACAACATGCACCCGTAGACTTGGCGACTTGAAAAATAGTGCAAAGCTGACGACAGCAGCAGCAAAAAAATTTAGACAAAAAGTCTTTGAAGAGCAGTTAAAATGTGGAACAATAATTCAAAAAAATGCAATTAATTGTGTAGTTGTTCAATTTAAAATTTTTTTTACAATGCAATATACCACTAAAAATTTTAACCAAAACCACATGCATTTATTTCAACAAAAATTAGAAGTAAATGTGAAGACAGAACTGGTAAGTTGAGAGACTAATGAATAAGCAGACTGATGTGGTTCTATACCACAGTAGGCAAATATATGATCTTTGTAGAACAGTTACTAACAATCTTTTTTATCTTTCAAAACTGTATTTATGAACAGTTGGTGACCGAGCGATATCTGTCCGGTAAGTATTATTTTCCCTACAAGTAAATAGAATAAAACTGTATAATAACTGTGGAAGATATAAAAACGAAAAAAGTACAGGAATTAAGAGAAACGTAGCTATCAACAACTGACACTAAAAAGTGACTAAAACTTTTGATCTATTGCTTATTTAAGGTGTTAAAACTAAACTATTTTGAGAGATCAATACACCGCTAATGAAACTGACCTAGACAAGTTCCAGTATTCAACAGAGTCGCAAATTTGGCTGCAATAGTTTAATAAAAATTAAGACAGATGAAAGAAGGCGTAATGTTTAAAGCAAGAAGCGTTATGAAATGCTAAGCACAATTTAAGCCATATTTTAAAATCTGCCTCAAAAATTATCATCTTTTCTATAGTGCGTATTCGACCACTGGTCGAATACGCACTAAACGCACATAGGAATGATTCAGAGGCCAGTCTTCAATTGCAACGATGAAGCGGACAGGTACAAAAATTGAAATTGTACGTAAAACCAAATCAGGTCAAATAAAGTAACGCCTGTTTGTTTTATCACACTTACACTGTTGTCATGAAGAAGAAGAAGAAAAAAATTCTAACTTTAATGGCATGTTCTGATTTTGTGTATTGATTACAAATATTCTTGCTGTTTATTTTGTACTTTCTTCAGTCATATGTTTCATAGCAATTCAGAAATCTTTTTTAAAGCATTTGTGATATTTTTATTGTTTTAGCACTAATATATGTGTAATTTTTAGGCAAGATTTAGTAATATCACTATTTGTATAATTACGAGCTGTCAGTGTATTCATACTTTAACGTTAAAAATCTGTTGCAAAAACAGAAGTTTGTCACATGATTAATTGGTTGAATAGCTTTAAATAATATACATGATGCTTTTTTTTTTTGCTCAATGCATGTAAGTACTGTCAATTTTAAAACCAATATATTCAAACAGTTTAAACAACAAACAGCCAACTTATGCCTTCGATAGTGTACCAATTATCAACGGTATT